CCCCAAAACCCCAAAACCCCAAAACCCCATCTCCATATTCACATTAAATATTTAAATTAGGATCAATATATATTTCAATTTATCTTAATCAGTAAAAATTATATGGCATCATTATCTTTTAGATTTCTTCCCGTTATCTTTTTCTTTTTATAATTGCATTTATCTTTTGTGCTGCTCTTGACTGGACTAGCTTTGGTAGAAGTTTCTTATATGCGCTTAATTCTAATGATTTTTCAAGTCGTCAATGTATGTGTAGGATTTCTTAATGGGTTATGCCTTTTGTGGCTGTATCAGATTATTCAAGGATTTATCACCTGAGCCATAAAAATGAGTCTTAGTATGATAAGGATTTGAATTTATGACTTCTCCAGTTATCATCTGGTTAAAGTCTCTAGTGTGATTCTTTGAGGACAATATATCTTCAAGTAGTTTTTGCTATTTTCTGCTTCTTAGTTCTTGTCTCTTCGATTCAAAATTACTATTTGCATTATCTTTATCGATATATTAGCTCGTCATGCCATTATTGGCTTTAGGATTTGGTGTGAGAGCAGATTTTTACAGATTAGCAGAAGTGATTTATTCACTGCTTTTATCCATCCTTTTATTCTATGGGATCATAAATCCTTGAAGCTATTATGCATTAGTAGGCAGAGAATTCTGCTTTTATTGCAAAGTATAATGATTGTTTGAAATTAAAATCCTATTTTTCTAAATTTGAAAGGCTGGCACTTAGAAATGCGAGCAAGATTAACATTTCTAACCCTAAAAGCAATAGGTTCCTAGCTTGACTGCGCATTACTTTCTTGGACAGAATATGTTACCGTTACTTTAGCCTTAGTCGTTAAACCATTCCATTTTTTAAATGAAAAATGTAGCACAGTTACTCTTCAACTATGTTTCAGGATGAACTTCAGAGGAATTTCCTGAACCAAATATATTGCCTTAGCTTCCACTTCTTAACTTACTGTACCTCGAGTTATGCTAATAGGAATTAGGATGCTCGATTATGTCATTAGAGCTAAAAAGCACTGAATGGCATAAACTACAAGAGAACTAAATCAACTGAGGACTGATCTTTTAGCTTTGCTGTGGCTCAAAACCAGAGATTTTTTCAAGGGTTTACTGAGTGTGTGAATTTTAGAGTCTGCTATTCGCAAGATTTAAAGGCTGTTGAAGTGAAGAATAATGCTAGCCTTCATTTCCAATAAGAGTGTTGAGGAGCTACTTAGTATTCGTATTCCCATTAATCCTTATTTAACCATATGACGATCTCGATCTCAATTAGTTTATTTATTACATAGTAACAGGAGGATGGGACTGCTCTCTTGGCTTGTTAAGGAGATCTTATTTCAATTGTACTTAATTACTTGATCTTCTGGATTAATCATGCTAAGTTGTTGATCTTTCACCATGCTTACTATCTATTATCTTATCAAATTGAACAATATTTCTCTATTAAATAGCTCTAAGAAGATCTTTATTTTAATGTTAGGGTTTTATTTTCTCTTCAGTCATTTGCTTCTTTTGATTTATGCTATCTTTAAACTCTTCTAAATGCAAAGTATTCACTTTGGCTTATGAATGCTAATGCTGGCTTTTTAATAATGGTTGAGGACTAGAGAACAAGTGGTAGTTTTCTTTAGTTTCAGTTGGATTTTCAGTAATGATTTTACGTTGATATCTGGGATCTTTATCTCTAAGCTTTAAGGCTCTTTCAAAGTCCATAAGTTATTTTTGGAAGCCAGGGTTTGGAAAAATAATGGGTCTTCTTTTTCTGACATGCGACATAGAGTCAAACATGGATTTACCAAATTCATGCATCAAGTATGCGATAACTACCGAAGCGCTTCTGGAAATTCCTGCGTAACTATAAACTTAATTGAATGTTTGATTTACCAATGGATGAGAACACTTCCAGTTTTAACTGCTTATCTTATAAATTCGATGCAAGAGTGAAAATGCTTGGAGAGATTTTCAAACGGCATATCTAGCACATTCACTATCTTGTATTTAAACTCCTATTATAATCATTAGCAGTTAAATTTATATACCCCTGGGAAAAATGGCTAAAATCCAGCTGCTACTTGTAAAATATGAGTAATACCCTGAAATGTAAATAAATACTAATATAATACGTTTCTCTTTAGGAGGAATAAGTTGGAGGCCCCTTGTATATCCCCAAGGTAAATATTATCTATAATTTTATCCATTTTATTATTAATCGTTTTGAAAAATTAAAATTAAAAATCTATAACAGTCTTTTGGGGTTTTGGGGTTTTGGGGTTTTGGGG